AAAGCTTTAACACAGTTAGAACTCTAAATAAAAACATACCGATGATTTCAGTAGGTTACAAATTCTAGAGCAACCGATGATCATTATTGGCACCAAAATCACTGGATACTAAAGCAATAATCAAAAGATACATTGACGCATATTGTCTAGTGGCCAAAACAAAAGTAAAACAATAACAGGTGAGCTTGTCAGTTAGTTCTCCAGCTCACATATATTTCGATAACACAGAAGTGAAACGGTTAACATCAAATGACATCTCTCTCTGATAAATATCCCATCACAGAGCAATTCAATGAGGGAATTAAGCCTATCCTCAATAACGTAAAATATCTACACAAATATGTAGTTCGTGTTTTGATGTTGAGTCTATCAATTTAATAACATGACAAGACGTCGGCTCATAACTTACACAATTCTGGCCATCACAAAATCATTTTCACTGTCTCTTGTACATGGTAATCATTAACTATATACTGTAACTAGCTCAAGTTTCACACTTTATTCAAAACTTCAATTTACAATGTTGCGGTATGTAAAACTTAGCCGAACTTCTATAACCATAACCAACATGTCTAGAGGCAGTGGTCGAACGTTTGGAAAGTAACAATGCATCACAGTGGCACAATGACATCTAGTCCTTATCATCTTCAGCATACAGTTACCATCCGAAAATCTTACACATTTGCTTCTCAACATGTTTCCAAAGTTCACCTCCTTAGTCCGACGGATATGACTATTTGTCGTTCCCTTCCTGTGTCATCAACCGCCCACACGGTTTGGCAACTTCGAATGGTCCATACATATGCCATGCCACAAATTGAATGAACCTTCTACGTATTCTAGTCGTTATCATGACAGTTACTGCGAAACGAAGACCTTAAGCTAAACATACCGAGATTTGACATCATATGGGCTATTCAATCACGATGGAGATTATGAGGACATTCAGCTATTAGATCCTAAGGAAAATTGGTTTTTCATGGATTTCACATTAACGAGCCCACCATCATTTTCGCATTGTTGCTTTCACTATCAACGCAAGTTGTTTAAACGTCACTGAATCGTTCTTTGCCAATTTCTTGTTTAAAAATCATCAAACGATGTTCAAATATATCATCTGCCTAACATTCTTACCTCACAACAAGAAATAACTTAATTATTAATAATTAATTATTAATAACTTAATTATTATCTAATATAACATCAGTTTAGTGGTATTCGAAGTAAACGCAAAGCTTCAGCTACAGGTTTCGCAACCAATAAGGACTATTGAGATGTGGTTACATTGCACTGGTCTATGCGAGGACTAATTGGACAATCGACTAAATCTTTCTTCAATTGTTTTTCATTAGGTATATATATATATGCACATGTGTGGTTTATAAAAATGAAATAACTCATCAAGTAGTTGCATAATGTAATAAACATAATGTCACATCCATTATAAATTAATATTGATTAATTGAAAGAAAGGACTATAATAAAATAATTCGGAAAATAAAACAGTTGGTATATTTCATAGTATGTAAAGAGAACTAACAAAATATTCCCAAAGGTCGGTAATGTAGTGGTTATGCAAAAATCAGGAGATGGATGTTGAAAATACGTAGAAATACAAAAGTGGGATAAATTATAAAATTACTCAGATATTGTTGAAGGAAAGGGTTTCATTAAAGTTCAGCTAAAAACTCACTTCTGTACCGATATCGAAGGTAGCGAGAGTGCTTCTGCAAACTTCTTTTAAATGAAAAGATCAGTCTTGTGAACATAGATTCCAATAGATTCAGCAATATGCAACAGACCTCGTAAACCACGCCGCAAATTTGATGGAATATAGTGGGTAACCTTATAAGCTTTATTCGTGTCAACTTGATGACCTGTGTTCATCAATAAGGGAGAATAGAACTCTTCGTCCCCCTTATCTTTCCTGTGCTTAAGCAAAACAATTTGCGTTTTGCTATCTGATGACGGACTTGTCGAATTGTACGCTCTATATAGCGGGCTCCACAGGAGCAGTTGACCTGGTAGATACATATGGATGTGATTCATACATAGCTGCTATACTACTGACCCTTTAAAATATTTTGTTAATTCTCTTTACATACTATGAAATATACCAACTGTTTTATTTTCCGAATTATTTTATAGTCCTTTCTTTTAATAATTCAATACTAATTTATAATGGATGTGACATTTTGTTTATTACATTATGCAACTACTTGATGAGTGTTATCTCATTTTAATAAACCACACATGTGCATACATATGTAGAGAGAGAGCCATGATGGAAACTGTTTCTTTACTTTATTCGTCCTTTTTATAGAATGCCAAAAGGGGTGGTTCACTATACTGAAGTCGATTACATATTCATATCCTCCACATATTTCAATCTACACGTATGATCAAACACTCTCATATGGTACAAATTACAGTCTACTACAATGACCACTGTAAGGTTCATGAAATATAATTATCCCACGTATTTTACGAACACATTCAAACTATTAATCATATACTGCTGTAGACAATAACTGTCAGTATGCACTACAACTAGCACCTCTTTATTCAGTGAGCTTCAAATACCCTTGATTCATTCATTATCTGGACATCCAGATATTTGAATCAACAATACTTAAGCATAACGATACTAACAGCAATCTTGTGCGGAAACGTGAGTTGCGTGCAACCGAATTACAAGCCACTTAAGTTATGTGACTAAAATAGCCCAAAGGTCGACCAATAATCAGGTTTTGGGGTCAGAAACACATGGCCTATAAAGTCTTTTACTTTTTATGAGTCTACTGCTTGTTACGTCACAAACACTTTTTTTAATAATAGGACTTGGACCGGTAGAGTATAAACTTGTACTCAAAGACTAACCACATGGCACCAGCGGCAGTGGTATAAAGTGATATATTAGCGCAGTCTGTCATCTTTTTTCATGACATTTTAGAATGCCACGTCAACACTAAGAAAACTTCCCAAAGTCCTTTTTAAATAGTAATAAAATAATCAAAACCATGATTAAGGCATTCCTAAATACAAACAGATGACACAAATAACAAGCGCAGACTCTAGTTTCGCCAAAACTAATTGACCCGCTTTCTCAATACCCAATATATTTGCGTTCACCTAATATGTGTAGCGTTCAAACCTTCATCTTCAGTCTTCAGTAATAAGGATAGGGGTCTATTGACCTATTTTAATCCTTGCAGTTTGTTACACTGTGGATGTCCAATCTCGGCTCATAACTTACACAATTGTTTTTCATATGACCGTCTAGTTTTACTAATTAACGCTTTACAAGTATTTCTAATCTTACAATAACTGGACCTGTACTGTTCTAAGCCAGTAGAGATGAACATATTCCAGTGCTTTTTCCTACGTCTAAGAAGTTTCTTGACTTGTTTATTTATTCATGGTGGACTATTATTCGGTTTACGTGGTACCAAGTATGGTATGAACGGGGACGTGACTGCACTAAACTTGCCTTTAAATACAGACCATGCCTCTTCAATTGATGAGCTACTATATACTGATCAATTTCTCTTGGCAGCACACTCCTCAATGGCTGGTATGTTAGCTCTCCATATGTTTGGGCAAGACTTAACCTGATCGTACATCATGTCACTAGCTCTAAACGTGAATGATAAAACAGCGTGAACGCTATTTACTAAACCAAATTACAACCCATTCAAAATATAGGAGTATACGTGGATCCCAGAGTTGATTTTTACTATGGGACTGGAATCCAGTATCGTTTGTTTCAAACGCCATCGTATTATACACCTAGTTGGTGAGTCCAGATAGCCACTAGCCTGAACGATTGAGTTCAAGATTCAAACAACTGATACAAAATTGATTCACATTTATCGCATTGCACAAGATAGTGATATTCTGGACGAACTAGCTACGTGGATAAATCAACGGAGTTCGAAACGACACTAGCTTTGAATCCCGTAGTGAACATCAACTCTGAGATGCACGCACATCCAGCTAACGAGTCCCAATTAGGACGAAACCACGTCCTGGATTCCACCGCTAGCCACCATAGATCTCTGCTTGTATTATACACATTGGGTGAAAAAAGTTGGTCCACACTCATACGAATGATTAAATACTCAAGTCATGGAGAAACAAAAGAAACAGGACAGAAAGTGTAATCAAATAGATTAACGGTCAAAGATTAATTGCAAGCTAATACATGACTCATTTAGGTCATAGTAATTAATATTAGACCATATCGCATAAAATCATTGTTCAAATGACAAGATTAACTGGCCTAATTAATACACCTGTGGTTCAGTAGTGGTTAACACACTCAAACGCCAACCAACCACTCTCATTCCAACATTCATATAAAACCCTTAAAATCCAGAAAACCTGTACTTGATAACCGAATTAATTTTATGCACATGCTTGGAAAAATAATTGCTCTCACTAACATTCTAATCACTCCACACAATGATAAATTCATATTCCGAATCTACAACACCGACTCAGTTAAGTCAACACTTGTACGCGTATACCTGAAACTAGGTTTTGTAAAACAATAAAACCATACATTTATTACTGTAGGATCAAACGAGAAATTCACCGTAAACCAATCATTCGCTCTAAATGCTCTTTCGTTTTTAAAACACAAGATAGTATATGTTAGTAACATACAGTTCAACTGCTCTGTCACTTGGTCATAAACAACTAAAAAGGATATGTCACAAATCTCCATCCACCCAAGTTGTCATACCTCGCATCAGCACACTTGAAAGAAATTCCCAATATCATAAAAATAATGTCAACAAACATTCTCAAAATAGTCACCAACAATCACATAAACATGTAGATAGAAACATATCAAAACAAGTACAGTTTACTTTCAAAACAATTGTATCTACAAATACAGATTACTATGCACAACAAGTTCAGCAAATGGCTACATTGCTTCCCCATATATCTAAATATATACATATATATATATATATATATATAAGCATAAACGCTTAACGAGGCTTCTCCACAGGACTTTCACGCAGCCAAGATTTATAGATCTTATAAAATCTATAAAATGAACGAACAGCATTTGGATAGACACGAAATCCACCAGTTTCTGATCCTTGAACAGGTGAACCATCTACCGTAATAAAAAGAAAATAAGGTAAAAATGACCATAGTATGAATGTCTTTGGAGATTGTTCAAATTGGAAAGTAGACAAAACATCCCAAACTGATTTTAGATAAACAACAACCCTTGAAGATTAAACAGCATCTGACAAATGTTTTTTCACAGTATGTGCCTTCTCAGCCAGTAGTCGACACTTGCAATCAATCCGCCAATCGAGACTGGCACTTCCACGTCTCACAACAAACATTCTACCTTCCGACAACTATCGGGTTCTCATACATTCTTCTTTATTGCCGATTTATGTCAATTCGTGGCATTATATGAATATCATTCAATCCCATGATTATACCCATCTTTCACAGCAGTTTTATCTCACTAGAACTTCGAGATTCTTTAAAAAAAGTCATTTCAGAATATTTCCTATCAAGATTGGCAAAGTTGTTGAAGAAAATCTATCATTAAAAACTACTGTGGAGAACAACTGGAAAGAGGTCAAAGAAGAACTAACTTCAACATGTCGTGAACAGATCGAATCGCGACACTAAGGAGCATTGCTCAACAGTCAATTGAATGGAACTCGTCACTATGCATCAACTTCCTTGATTATGAGAAAGCATTTAACAGTGTGGATAGGAGAACATTATGGAAACTTATTCGACACTATGATGAATGTGAGAAAATCTTCAACATTATACGAAATTCATATGACGGACTACACTGCAAAGTGGTGCAAGGAGCAAAGATGACAGACATATTCCAAGTGAGGACCAGTGTCAGACAAGGCTGTTTACTCTCGCCCTTTCTACTTCTTCCGTTAGTCAGCTGAATTATGAAGTCCTTCACATTTCAGAGGAAGCACGGAATAAAATGGACGGCTTGAATACAGCTAGATGATTTGAACTTCCCAGATGACCTAGCTCTTCTATCCCATACACATCGACAAATGCAGGTGAAGAGACATAGGGAACCAGAAGTCTCTGCACCAGTAGGCCTCAACATACACAAGGGAAAAAGTAAGACCCTCAAATACAAATCAGACAGCATCAACCAAATCACACTTGATGGAGAAACTCTGCAAGAGCTGGAAACTTTCACGTACCTCGTCAGGATCATTGATGAACGTGGAGGATATGATGCAGACTTAAGAATATAAGTCAAATACGAAGCGGAAAAATTCTTACAACCCAATACTTACTGAACTATGCACTGGTTATGTTGTCCAGATAGATAATATAAGCTACATAATCGGACCATCCAACTGACAGAACAAAACACCCACAAAATCCTCATCCTCAGATACAGATATTTTTCAACATGTCAAGTATAACTCTATGATACGATGTAAGATACAACACATATTTTCCATACATTTACAGAGACTTTTCTCTAACACACTCGTTAAATTTACTAAGGTGGATGAATAAATCACATAACAATTGAATTTAGTCGATAGGAAAAGTAATGGTATGATGGATGAAAACAATCAGTGAGCTTAAAGTATTGGTAACTATGTTTTCACTAACCCTGTCACCATTTATTGAACAACTTGAACGTGATCTAACTCAACAGACTCAATCATTCACAAAACAGATTTGGTTTATCCCGATTTGCACCCAATACCAAGCGTCAAGCCAACAATGGGGAAATAAGTCAACAATACAATATCGTTTGCTTCTATCGATAATAAATAATAAAGAAAATCTATACTGACTTGGTTAAAGTTATTTCATGTGGCCCTGAAGATCAGTTGTTAGAAATGTAAATGTAAACAGCTAGATGTGAATGTCCGCGAGTTATTTAAAAGTCTCATAACTCCAGCTATTAAACAACATGTTCAGAAAAGCGGGTTCAAATCTCGAAGTTAATATAATCCTTCTCTTAAAGATGTGTAGAAATCATTCTCATTCATATTGAAATGAGTAAAAACAGCTAATTAAGTATCTGTAGCATGTGCATTCAGCTAACCACTTTAAAGCAGGACGAAATGTGTGTCCTGCATTCCACTGATAGTCACAATATAAATATACTAAATCTCCGAAACTTATTAATTAAATTGATAATCAACAGTTTTCTCACTCAGATGTCAGGTGTGTTATTCAAGTGAATCTAACTGTTATCCAGCTGAATTCGACACTCATGATGAATACATTCCAATCAAAACTGGTAAAAAAAAAACCAATACTTATTACCAACAACGGGATAACAGAAACCTTCATAAGTTTGCAAACCATTGTTTTCATGCACATTCTATAAAATGAGTACAGACTCGCATAACCAACTTACCCATCGGAATTATACCTTTCACCAAAAGCTCTCGAAACAAACCAATATCTATATCAATAGATGCGATTACTCGGCGATCTAACACAAATCCATCGAAATGATTGGATACTTCGTTTCCAAATACATTGCGTTTTGGTATGGTAGAATTTTTATCAGACAACTCATCTACATGAACTGGACGCCTCATGTATTCAATAACAAACGCTTTCAAATCCCAATCAAATCCAGATGTTGATAGTATAGTACTGAAGAATGTGAAACTTGGTCTGATGATTAGTGACTGGACATTTTGTTCACGAGATATACTGTTAGCCTCCAAATCACTGGAAGATAGTGGGGTTGTAGCAGCAACCTCAAATCCACGTAGAAGTTGTTTCACCGACTCTTTTGTTTGACAACCTCGAGCTAGGCAACCCCAAGTAATCTACACGACAGGAAAAACTTTAACCATTAAGGAGCATTTGTAAATTCAGTCTATCATAAGCCACCTTATAATAAACAACTAGCTTTCTTTCAACCTATTCATACACCAGGCAACACTACACTGAACCGTACACTGAATAAAAGGTAATACTGCAGTGAACAAGAACACGAGTGGGGACAAACGAATCTGACAACCATACAGTAAATAGTCAATTTTCAAACTATCAATTAATTGTCTCAACCATGACCATTCCTTCTTCAAATATCAGTCCATAGTCTCCGATTATTATTGTTCATGCATTTTCATATCAATCTTCTACTGAAATATATTTAATGCCCGACCATCGTTATATACTACTTGTGTGGATATAAGTAGCTCACACCACACTACGACGGCAATTCTACTAATACATCTCTCGTGAAACACTTGTGAAGCGATGACTCTGTGATTGAAGCACTAACCTCCTAACGATGAGACTCAGGTCCGAAGCCTGTACCACCAACCAGTTCCGTTTGCTCACATCGCCAGTATCACGAGTCCTAACACAAACAGTGTGTCTTTACTTGCAACTAAAATATCTCGACTTTACAAACAAGCTACAAGATTATATCTGCACCATCTCGTCAAACTACAACCCGCCACAGGAAGCTTGATTGGAATTCCCTACCTTACAAATGATAAGATCAAAACAAAACACAAATATACACAAACGGAAAATAAAGCAAACCTACTTGGTTGGGAATTAATCCGTTACGGGTCATATCCGCTAATAAATGATTAGCATTCAAACCAGCTGACGTCCTACGATGAATTAAAGCATTGTATAATGTAGCATCAACAGTTAGTTTAAACCTTGAAAGTAAATTTAAAACTTCCGTTTCCCAAGTATCAAGTGCGTCATTTGTGTAACACTGATCAGATTTCACTGGTGGTGGCAACAATCTGATGATGCAAGTAAAAAAACTAATATCCAGTTTCAATTTGTAATGATTTTCAATAATATCCAGGAGACCGTACAACCCACCAACGAGAGCGAGACGTTGCCACGGATAAAGCCCTTGTTCTTTTGGTCCACAAATCTAAAATTCAACATTGGAAAACAGGAATTTTAAAATATTTATCAAAATTGTTTATTCAGAGTTTTACTGACTTTCATTTTATACAATCTGCTGACTGAGGAATCGCTCCCATACCAGAAGAACCCGCGTTTAGTCTGTGGTGAGATGACTTAGTTATTCTCACAACCACTGTATGTTGAGTAGAATCTTTAGTCAGTGTTTTGATGAATCAGAGGGATTAGCATGTTTTGCCGAAGCAGTCAGATAACCAGTTCGCCCAGATATTAAGTTTACATAGGCGGAAAATCCAAATTGAGTTCAAGGTTATCCTAACGATTATGAGGCAAATACATATTTTCCATTTGATTACTTTGCAAGTGAATCAAGCCTAGATGAATCACGTATGTTAATTACACATATGAATGCATGTTTATCTGTATATTCTAATTTGAAAAGCAAAGGGAATATGTATCATATTTTTTGTGCAAATCAAAGTCACATGATGGAATGCCTCAGTCAGTCAGTCAGTCAGCTACAACGTAGGACCAGGCACATTTATGCATCGGTCCAAGTTGCCATACCTCGTTAGCACAACAAGATGAACACCGGGTTCATAGAAGTAATTAATTTAGTGGTGGTAGTAGTATATAAATTATAGGTTGTATATAAGGATACAGTACAGGAAGGAGGAGAGATATGAAGCAATTTTAGTCTCAAGGTTTAAAGGAAGATAAAGAGTGTATATACCTACGCCATTGTGATCGATTCTGAGCCATGTCACCTAGAGTCTCCAACCATTGGTTACGATAGTCACGCGGACCCCAACCAGGTAGTCTGCATCTGCCAACATGGCTCAGACTAGAAGTTAGTGACTTCAAACACTGATGCCATGTTTTGGTTTGGCCGCCCCTAACTCTCTTCCAACCATCCCCAATACTAGTCAGCATAGCCCGTCTTGGTAATCGATGTTCAGGCATACGTAACACATGGCCCAACCATCTCAGTCGATGAAGATTCATCACCTCATCAACTGATTTGCCATCGTTCCCTAATACCCTGCGTCTAACCTCACTATTACTTACCCGGTGATCCCAGCAGATGCGAGCAATATTTCTAAGGCATCTGTGGTCAAATACTAGTAACCTACGAGTATCTTCTACTCTTAATGGCCATGTTTCACAGCCGTAAAGTAGAACAGAGCGAACTGCTGCGCAGTATACTCGTCCTTTAATTGATGGAATGCCTCAAATCATATATCAGTGTGTATCCCCAAATGCTCACATATAATAATCGAAGTGTGAGATATGAGATAATGCAAATTGGTCATAACATTGCGACGTAGGGACTCTACATTATTTCGTGGGGGAGGATAGCGTTGGAAAGTCTATAGTTCAGATTCTAAATATCAGTGGTTTCAGTGCACAACCGCAATGGTGATTGTATACAATTCCAGGAACCAGGTGAGTCTGTTCCGATTTCAGTTGTTAATTCCAATACTAATGAGTATATTCTAGATCGCACAGAGTCTACATCCAATACACAATCGGACAGACACATGATGAACCTAAGGGGAAGATGTACAATTGATCGCAGAAATTTCGATCCTCATTTAAGCTGTGGTGGATGTTTTGTTTGCATGAACTAATGATTCCTTTGTGTTTGATGATTGCTTGATTTCGAATTCTAATTACAATGCGTTCGTTCATGCTCATCTAGTAATTCTTAGTTAAATTGCGTTATTTCTGGGATTCCTGGTTTGTACTATAATTCAAATACTCTTAATTATCACAGTTTCTTATTCTTTTTCCAATGACACCTGGTTCCAAAGGATTTTCCAAAGGTATGGCTTGGTGACCACATTATCACCCACGATAAAACTTCGGATAGTCTGATATTGTCTGCGCCCATCCACTGGTTTACGTGGCAATACGGCGTCGAACATAGTTCGAATACTTCTTCTGAACATAGCTTCAGCAGGGGACTTCTCATCTGGGATAATTTATTTATTTATTTAATCACATATATATTGGTACAAAGGGCACCGGATACATATGCGCCACACAAAATAATGAGAATGGGAAAGGAAGAAGATGCGTATATATAAAAGAAGGAAAAAAAGAAAAGGAGAAGAGTAATGATGGGGGGAACTGAATGTACAACCAGAAGACTCTTTCAGTTAAGAAAGTTAGAATCACTCTTTATGAAGAAAGTAAAAGAAGGTTACAGCAGGATCGCCACTGGCTTCTATTCCGAGCCATATCTGATAACGTCTCTAGCCACTGTGTAACACCTTCTCTCAGACCCCAGCCAGGGAGTCGTGAAGGACCAACAGAAGCTAGCCCTTTGCAGCTTTCTTTCATACCACGACACCATGTCATACACTGACCTCCTCTCCGCTTTCTCCAACCAGTCCCAGGGTCGGCAAATAATGCACGACGTGGAAGTCTCTGGGACGACATTCGTAAAACATCTCCAAGCCACCGAAGTCGGTGTTTCAAGATGGTCAAAACAATTGAATTATCGTCCCTGCGCCCGAACACACGATGCCGAACCTCTGCATTACTAACATGGTGTTGTCACTGGATGTCAGCAATCCTTCGGAGACAACGATGATCGAACACAGAGAGTCGTCTAACATCCTCAACTCGGAGAGGCCAGGTTTCACAAGCATAGAGCAAAACTGCTCTCACCGACGCGTTGTAGATCTGACCTTTTACAGCCAGACTAACATCACGAAGGCGCCAAAGATGGCCCAGATTGGCATAAGCCGCTCTGGCTTTCATTATACGTGCATCAATCTCATCACTCACGCCACCACCAGCACTTATGTAGCTACATAGATACACGAACTTCTCAACTACTTCGATCTCCTCACCATCCAGGGTGAGTACAGGATGAGAATCCTGCCAGTCTTGTAGAAGTACTTTGCACTTGGAGGGTGCAAAGCACATGCCGTACCTGCGGACACTGATTGCCAACTGATTAAGTGCGGATTGCATGCCTTGGGCATTATCGCACAGTAAGACAATATCATCCGCATACTCAAGGTCGAGAAGTCGTTCTCCAGGCAGCAGGTCCACACCGCCATTACTTACATCCATCAGAGCTGTTTCCAGGATGTCGTCGATGGCAAAGTTGAAGAGGAATGGTGAGATTGGGCAACCCTGCCTAACCCCACTGCTCGAATGGAACAAGGGAGAAAAGTGGTTGTATGCCCTCACTCTGCCTGAGGTGTTCGTATACAGGGCCTTCAAGATGTTAATGAACTTCTCAGGCACACCCTTCTTCAATAGACTATCTCAGAGAACAGTCCTGTCCAACGAATCGAAGGCAGCCCTGATATCAAGAAACACTACGATTGTTGGTCTGCGATAAGTATGACGGTGTTCTAACATTTGGCGGAGTGTGAAGATGTGATCAATGCAACCTCGACCAGAACGAAAACCAGCCTGCTCCTCGCAAGTCAATCGTTCTCGGGTTTTAAACAACCTACGAAGAATGATAGAAGCCAATAGTTTGGACGCAATCGGAAGTAGACTTATCCCCCGATAGTTATTGCAGGAACAACGTGAACCCTTTTTAAAGATAGGGACGACTATCGACTCATCCCATGATGTTGGAACACTTTCTTGTTCCCAAACCTTTCCAAACAACACCGTCAGTTCCTTAGTCAGAAAGTCATCACCTTCTTTAAAGAGAGTCGGAGGTAAGTCATCTGGGCCCGGTGATTTGTAACGTTTCGAGAGTTGGAGTTCCTTGCGGACTTCCGCCTCGTTTGGTGGATCAGTCGTCACCGGCCATGGGGGGCAGGACAAACTGGTTGATGTTGCCGGAGCAGCAGGCCAGTTGAACTGCACTTCGAAGAATTCCACCCATCGTCCAAGACATCGAGAGATGTTAGTGATTGGCATCCCATCATCCTCGTAGATTGTTTCACTCACACCAGACTTCTTGCTGCCAGTGGCTCGAATGAGTTGGAAGAGCTTCCGGCAGTTACCAGATGCAGCTGCTGCTTCCATCTCATTAGCACGCTCCGACCACCAGGCTTCTCGGTCCTTACGCAAGCTTTGCCCGATTTCATTACGTAACAGCCTTCGTTTGTGGTCAAACTCACGGTCACCCGGAGTAGACCGACGGGCTTCCATCAGTTGTAAGGAGCCAGAAGAAACCCAGTGCTTGTAAGCAGGACGTTTCGCGAAGCCGCAAGCGGCTTTACTCGCCATTTTCATGGCGTCGTGAAGATGCGACCAATGCTCATCTATACTTTTCGGTGGGGTGGTAGCTAGCCTAGAAGCTAGCTCCGCTCGATACTTACTTGCAACAGAAGTTGCAGCCAGTTTACTAATATCAATCCGTTGGTGGTGGTCAATCCTTCGGCCACTGAAAAGTAAGGTGAGATTGGCGCAGACCAGGGCATGATCGGACTCCAGATAGGTACTCCAAAAGGAGCGGCAGTCTTGTACACAACCACGCCAGCGGTAGCTGATCGCGATGTGATCAATCTGAGTCCAGGCTTGGGATGCAGAGGGAGGACGCCAGGTGGCACACCGGCGATGACTGTGCCGGAAGTTAGTGCTAGCCAGAAACAGGTTGTGGTCTGTGTACAGTTGCAGCAAACGGTCCCCGTTATCTGTCCTGCGACCAACAAGTACCCATCGGCCACCTAAACGACTCTCTTCTGTACCTAGACGCCCGACCTGTGCATTCAAGTCCTCGGCTAATACTACAATATCTGTCGAACGCGCTTTCTGGAGAAGAACTGTTAACTGATGGTAAAACTCATCCTTGATTGCATCCGGGCTGCAATCTTTCGGGGCATAGGCGGAGATGACGAAAAAACACCGTTTCTCACGCCGATTTCTTCTCACTTTGATGGAACTTTCTAATCTAACAGCACATAACCGACTGTTAATGGGGATCCAATCGATTAGTGTTGCCTCAGCTCTAGCGCTTAGTTCGACACCAACGCCAGCAAGACCAGACGAGGATGCCACAGGGTCACCGGATAAGCGCACGTGAAACAAGCTTTTCGAGGCGACAGATGGAGAGCGGATTTGTAGTACTTCACTAGAGTCTTGAATACGGGTCTCGGATAGACAACAAACATCAACATTAAGACCTTCCAAAGACATAGCCAGCCCTATCTGTTGTCTGATATGCATTAGTGTGCGAACGTTGAAGGAAGCCAGTTTGAACGGCGTACGTGGTTTCAGAAAGACTGCTTCAGTATTCATAATCGGTGGAAGCATTCACTTTCAACCAGACAGTGACTGGAGATCGTTTAGATAGGACAGATTTTCCACCAAGAGCGAGCTGCTGCATAAGATGAAAAGTACGGTTACACAAATTGGGGATAAAAGGGGGTGAATTAGCAATATGGTAAACAATAATAATAATAATAGTAACAATAATGCAAATTGAATTGTTTCTTGTATGAACGAGAATATAATTGTCAGTTGAATGTTCCATTTCATTTATTTGCGAGAGGGCTGTGATACTGCCCGGCTGCCCAAACTGAAGCAGGTGGTTTTCTTAGGGGGCCACACCCGGAGCCTTTGACCTAGAGGTCTAATCCACAAGGCACTGGAGCATCGTGAGGAGATGCAGTCTCATGGTAGCCGGTGACCAATAGCTGGTTCATTCGCCATTTGTTCCTTCAGGATACTGGTGCCCATGTGCACCATTGGTTTGGAATCAGTTTTCCAACTCCCCTAGGTGAACTCGCTGTGTCCACCAACCCGGTTATAGCGCCGGACATTCGCTTTTCGTCCTCTCACTTTCGTAAACAACACCCCACCTGGCCACGAGAAGGCAGTGAGTAGGACTTCCCTGGCAGGGGCTATATACGCGTGGCCATGTGAGAGCATTTGGAGAGGGAGAGCGAACTCTCTCCACTCTTGGCCGTACCAGGGCATTTGGGGGCAGTAGGGTTGAGCGCAGTTCTGAGCTGTTAAGAATTTGTAATTACCTGACTTGTCCCCTCGTCTCTCCCTTTCAGTAATGCTCTATTAAATATGTCATCGAAGCGTTATGCCTGTCCATGTGATAGGGTGGGGAGCGTATATGTGTAATCCCATTAATGTTGCAGAAGTGTTTGAATGATTCTGAAGTGAATTGCGAACCGTTGTCGGTCACTGAAGTCTAAAAGTCGAAACAGCCAAACAATTCAGACAACTGGCTGTGCAATTTGACATAGCAAAGCTTTGTGGCCATATCGTGAATGCGTCCACTATGACTGAAAACATTTTTCCTCGTACTGAGCCAGCAAAATCTGCATGCAGCCTCTCCCAGGGACTATTAGGTTTTGTCCAATATTGTGGTTCACATTTCTTTAGACTTTTGGCTGGTTGCAGGCACGACGAACAATTGAGACATCTAGTTTCGATATCTCGATTCATTGTAGGCCATTAAGCATGGTTTCGAGCCATCGATTGCACCTTATTGATGCCGAGATCGCGACGGTCGGAATAGGCTGTTGTGTGCGTTTATACTGAGCAGACCTTTACACACATTAGCAACCGGAATTTGTAAATATGCATTTGATAAAACCAACTTTGCAAACAGCCTGCCTTCATTCAACTTAGCAAAAAGATCTTCAGGTAGGGATAAGGGATACTGATGAGTTGAGTTTCTAGGGCCTCATTTAACCTGGTTGAGTAATCAGCACATAAACGGACGCTACCATTAGTCTTTCTTTACTACCATTATTTATGCCGCCCATTCTGAGTTTACTGGTTCAATAACATCCACTTTATGACGCTGTTCGAGCTCGTGTTCAACTACTGAGACGGTAGCATATGGTACAGGTCTTTTAAGTTGAAACACTTGGGTTTAATCGCTGTCAAAAAGTAAGAGTAGCCTTAAATTTAGTGCATTCTCGAGGCCCCTCATTAAATACTATTTTATGTCGTTTTAATAATGCCTCCACTGAGTTTTCCTCTTCTACTTTCGTTGTACTGTGGTTACAGATCAAGTTCATGGGGCAGTCTGTCCCAATAAGTCGAGTGGGATGGAAGTTCTGTCAAAAATATTACTCAATTCTCCGTTATTTTCTTGACTGTGACTTCAAATTGCATCCCACCAACAATGTTTAACATTCCCCCATTCCAACTTTGGCGTTGAGATCTCCCATCAGGATGGTTAGGTTCTTTCATGACCACTTCGCTATGATCGATTGCAGCCTTTCATAAAAATGATTTTTATTGTCGTCATTGCTATCATTAGTAAATGCATAACAATGGATAACATTCATTTTGATTCCATCCTTCCTTGTTTTGAAAGATGCTTTGATGATCCTGGATGCATGAGATTCCCTTCTTACAAGTGCTTTAGGTGCTTATTTAGACAAAATCAGAGCAACTCCTCGAGTGTGTGGAGCATTTTCTTCTTCGTGACCAAAGTAGAGTAGCATCTCTCCCGAATCTAACCTTATATATCCAGTTTGGGTCCAATGAGTTTCCCTGATTCCGAGAACCGCCAAGTTGTATCGCCTCACTTCCGTTGCTATTTGACTGGTCCTCCTAGTCCCCTACATTGTCCAGACATTTCATGTACCTATATTAATTATTGCTGTGATTTTTAGAAGGGGTGTCGGTCTCGTGACTTCCGAAGGATCTCGGATTTCCTCGTGTGGCATCATAATTCTTCCTTGAACTCGGAGGGTAGGGTTTAAATGGCTTATTCTGATTAGCGTCTTGTTTAGCGAAATTGATTATACGGGATGAGCTTGCCGACTCCACGTTCAACCCTCTTCCATTACCACGGCTTGGGACCGGCAATAGCCCTGTAAAAGTTACAGGCGGAGTTATATATATAATTCTGCATGCTAGAACCTTGCAAGTCTTTCCTCTTGACTGCGTTGAAGTGAAGAAACCAAATACCGTTCCCTACCATCGAGGTATCATGTTTCAAATTCACTAATATTTTGCACTCGGTAATTACTTCCTGTAGGGTCATGCTTGGACAAAATTCGAGTTTGCTTAAGATTTTCTTTCGGGTGTCAGCATCCTTGGGTGAACGCAGGCTAGATAAATACTAAGCATTTAAACTGGTCTTCTGTCATGGAATACAATTTGAACCTTTCACATCCTCGGTTCACAACTCCTGCACCTTTCACCCAGTCATGTCATGGTCTTTTCGTGATCTTAAAGCATTGGTACAGATGATTGATACAGATGACTGTTCTCCAAAGATTTGAAACAGGGTTTTATTTGTTTCACCAAAAATACAGTCCAAAGAGTTCTTTTGAAGAATAAAGTTACTGCAGCCACCATCCAGAAGGTAAAAATGTTTATTAACAGTTGCTTACGCGAAATAATTCGGATACGTTGGCCAGACACTATCAGCAACAAAGTACTGTGGGAGAGAACAAACCAGATTCCAGCAGAAGAAATCAGGAATAAGCGCAGAAAGTGGATAGAACACACATTGAGGAAATTCCCCAACTATATCACAAGGCAATTCCTCATTAGTAATCCTCAAGGCTAAAGGAGGATACGAAGACCAAAGAACACATTTAACCGAGAAATGGAAACAGATATGAGAAGAATGAGCAACACCTGGATAGAACGAGAAAGTAAGGCCTATGACAGGGTGGGTTGGAGAATCCTGGTCGGCGGCCTATGCTCCATTGGGGGTAACAGGCTTAGGTAAATAAGTAAACGTTCATGTTCGGTCAAACCAAGTTTTTTTAAAGTATTCTGACTTTTGAAGCGTCATCCAATCTGCAGAGACCAATATGGTTCGAGCATCCAGATGTGGCACAAACATAAGAAACTAATGAATGGATCGATTTATTTATTAACTATACTTAGAAAATTAAGAGCTGCAATCTCTTGCTATATATATTTGTCATTTGAAATCCATCAAGTCAGGATTTCAAACCTGGCACATATGTCTCATGCTCTACAACATTATGACTGACTGACTATCAATCTGTCTAACCACTTTTGATACAGTCTACTTTCACAAGTATCTCCCTCCTCACATTTCCAACTTGGAAACTATTGATAAGACTTTTGTTATCGTAATTTAATATTCTTACTCATATCAGAACACATGTCTTCCCACTACCAACTTGTACTTTTACATATTATGCTCAGTGATTTATTCTCCTTCATTATGATTATTGACTCAAATTGCTTTGATTGGTCTAACATTTTCGTATAAATATTCATGTATATTAAAGCCTGATGTTTGCTTACATGTACTGCTCTAATTTCCAAATTCAACATTCACAAATCACAGCAAACATACCCTCTAACTCAACCAATCATAATATTCATCAAAAATAACTTAAACTGATTTTGATATTCTACAATTCTAAGACTTTCTAATCTGTACACAAAATTTTCATGAAAATTCAACGTACTACTATTGGTTTATCAGTAGGCAAAAGAAGATTTATCGGGCTACGAAGCGCTAACATTGTATTATTCCAATCAAACTGAGGAGATTCCGGTGTTTCGTAAATCACTGGTTCATTACTGGTCGAGTCTAATTTAGTAGTACACGTGCTATCTAATAATGGAGATTGTGTAGCTTGTGCAATCATCATTGACGCCAATTCACGTGATGTACAGGAAGGATGTATTAGATTTACAGAATTGGATGGGTCGACAGAAGATTTAAATATATCTTCAAAAGACTTATAACGACTGTTGTTCACAAAGATTATTTCACAATTATTATTCGCATCCAAACAGTCATTTTTTAATCCCATTATTCTGGCTAGTAAAGTGAAATTATGCGGAGCGATATCATTATTTGACAATGGAACTAAATCATGCCATAAAGATAAGGCTAGCTGGAATGGGCTAAGACGATTGAAAACATCGTTTGAGTTCGCTGATTGTTCCGATGAGCCCATACGTCGATGACACGATTCCAGATTTCTTTTCATAGTAGCTGGTTCAATAGATGACAGTACAGATGTTATAGTGAAAGAATCGGGAACCAACCACTTATTTTTACAATCAACTGATCCTTGAGAAAACCGTTCACTGTTTTCTGTTGCCAACATCATATCCAGGGCACGCAGACAACCATGAATATCACCAGCTGAAATGAAATTCGAATAATGAGCAATGTAAATAGTTGAATGTACATTCAGCACCAATGATTATTTAAAAATTTACATTTCTTCTCGGTTTAACACAAAATTGAAATATTTATGATGATACAATGGTGCATCCTATTTATATTGACAGATACAAGTAATGTGTAACGTCGACCAGAAATTGAAGGCACTCAAAAGAAGGTTAAGAAGATTGAACTGAAGAAAACAAAAAAGGAAACAGGAAGGAAATGAAAGTGGAGGAATCATGAAGGATGTAAAAGACAATCGGTGGGAGATTTGCGAATGAAGTATTTAATGTATAACTTCACATTTTAAGAAAGAACTCTGTAATTTTGAGTTAAATATGTAAGTTGGTTGTCCCAACCTGACTTTTAGTTCACTACAATACTATATGCTTACAAACAACGTGAAATGGTTCAAGATCACTGCCTCTGGATTTACTGACTTTTCTTCTCTTTTATCTTGGTATTTGGGGTTCAGTACGGGAAAACGATACTTGGAGGATCGCGAATGATTGTGAGATGGTGGAGAAGATTGTAGCTCAGGTGGGTGATTTTGATGTAGGTTTATTCTCTGAGCTGGAAGGTTTGGTCGTGGAGCTTTCATCGTCCTTCTGAACGACATCAGCACAAACTTCGGATAGAAGTGAAGTGTTTGAATTACTCCACATGTGATTCACAGCTTGTCCTGTGCACCTCGATGTTGATTGGTTCTTATTGACCTCTTACTGATCATCGAACACACAAAAATTTAGTAAACTGAGAGCATTGGCAACCAATCAATCACAAAGAAGCAAAGATCATTTGGAAAATTTAGTCAGAAAATCAACACTGACAGATACCGTCACCGGTATTGTTAACGAAACTTCAGTAGCCTAGTGGTCGTTTCAGCACCTATCCCTTCTCAAGGTTCATGCATTACATTTAAAAGATTAGTATGAAGAAGATAAGAAAGAAACAGACACATGTCGAAAATAGCTTACAAAACTAAAATGCAGTTTAGGACCGTGATAGAGTAACATTGGAAATATCGCTTCAGAACACAGAGACCAACAATGAACTGATAAATCCCAAAAGTCTAGACTATGCACACATATTTTACCAAGTTTCCTTTGCAACCAGTTTGTTCGACAACTACGTTTATCAAAAACAATCATCAGTCACATCCAAGATGGCTTGAAATGGAATGACCAAATCAATCATTCAATGGGGATACATACTCCTGAGCATCTGCTCTAGTTGCAGTCCCTAAAATAACATCCTGAGAACACACAGTGTGACCAAGTCAAGACATGGCTCACAACACTAAATGGAGAATAACGCTAGTCAAGTGTTAATCAGTTTAAGCAACCAACACTTTTGGTTCGCAAAACAGAAGATTAATAGTTCAGTTGTGATCGGTATGAGCCATACTCTAAGTGTAAGAGATGATGATACTACCTGGTTCCCGAGACCGGAGTAGGTGAGGTGGGGTTCAAACATGGAACTCAGTGACAGGAATTCTAACATCTCAACCACTAAATCACTGCAAATCAACACGCTTCAATTAAGCTAGTTAAATTCACACTTTATCCAACTTCAGTGTTCACATTTCTATATCACATTTAACTCAAACAAAAACAAAGTACATACCTTTGGCAAGAGCCAAAATAAGTGCATTGTATGTAAATTGATTCATTGGAATATTTTTTTCCGTTAAACGACGCCAAAAACGATACACTTTATGAAGTGCAGGTCCACCAAACTTATCTGGTGACATATCTGGAGCCAACGCTTTCTGAAGAGCCAGCCTATGTAAAAAAAAACACAATAATAAATAGACACGGTTGTGGGTAAATTGAATAATTCATTTCTTCTCTCATGTCCAGTTATCTATAATTTCTCGAAATATTTCCTAGCAACCGCTAAGTCAAATCACACTGATATCAACCAAACATATTCAGAAATACAATAACCCACGACTCACATATCAAGAGTAACTATGATCTTCAACAGATATGATTCACATAATCGCTGAAAATATACTACACAACAGGTTAATGGGTGCAGTGTCCGAGTGCAGCTCGACAATGCTTGAAACTCCATACTTACTAGGATGGGAAAAACATCTTGAACCCATCAAAAAAAAAATGGAACGCCGTCGAATACCAGTTGCAAAGTTCCAGGTAGATCCCAAGAAACATCCATATTCATACATCGTTTTCAAACACAGGTATCAGGAGTCAGTGGTCTTAATGACCTGAGAGTGTGAGCGCAGTTCCCAGAGGACAACTGCTTGAGATCGGTCACACACGACCTTCTTGCGGGTAATTTTTGTGTTAGTTCCGTACTTGTTGGGACCTAAACGACTAAGACGAGTATCAGTGAGATAAGGAGGGGTGTACATTTTTAAGGTCAACCTTTTCTAACCCCACCCCTCCTTGTGGGAAAGCAGCATCACCGTTATGCTGATTGTCTGAAGGAAACAACATATTGCTGTCACACCTCTATACAGTCAGTAGTAGGACTTCGCCTACGGATATTCGGTTTGCTGCTTTTAGTCAAACGACCTACCTGGCATGGTAGGAAATCGAAGAACAATTGATACAGCCAATATAGCTCGATTGGTTCATCACGATAGGCAAGCCCAACCACGTCAAGGAAGCAGCAACGGTCGCGACCATCCATATTCATACATCGTTTTCAAACACAGGTATCAGCAGTCACCATAACCACTAGGAAAATAATCTAAAACCGAGAGTCTATGACTTCCGATAACTACTACATCGAAACATTTCACTCGGAATATTAACAATCAACCACACTACCCACCAAATGTTCCTCAGGAATACTGTTTAAAATATCTTGTTTGTTCTTCACGTTCACAATCTCCATTCTTAAATTCCTTCAACAAGTCTGCTTTTCCTTTGTGACCTGATTACTTTACATTTCAGTGTCATTTATCTCATATCTTTTAAGGCCATTACTTACAAACGAGTTGTGTAGTAATATTGCATCCTATACAAATAGTAAACTTTCTCCTGTAAAAGACCAGTTTCATTCATCTTATTACCTACGTGAGTTATTAACAGATGAAGCGTTGTTGTTGTTCACAAATAGGTGTTGCATCCTAGTTTATCATCAGTCTAAATCAAACTACAACAAAAATCATACAACCAAGTTCCCTTTTAACTTTACTTAATTGACTACCTTATCTCTTAGAACGTGGAAATTCAGTTCAGTAAAGCACAGTTAAGTGAACAGAAAAACCAATATAAGCCAAATGAACGAGTAGTAAAGGTATATATAGCTGGACTGAGTCGTTATTTCTTCAACAAAAAAGGCATTTATACATCATTGTGATTCCCATGCAAAATACAACTCACATTTTACGCTGTAATAACGATGAATGGTTCTCAGTACGAATTACAACAGGTGGAATAAGAGTTCTATTCCTTCGAAACCATGTTGCAATATCCTCAGCGCAGGCGCTAAACATTAAATTCATCATAATTCAAAAAATCACATATATCAATGTTTCATCAAACAAAAACTAAAATATATGGGGTACACTATTTACTGATTTAGTAAAATCTATACTAGATGAAGTTTAAAAGAACGCTGAGACAGAAACTTTCGAGACTCAAATTTCCCACACTCAGAACACTATCTGGTCACGTAAGTTATAAGTGTAAGAAAATACTAGTGTCTATTCGAGAGGACGATAACCTACCTCAAAAATCACTTACCAAGTACATATTTATGCACTTAGATTCGAGCCATACTGTTTGTATGAAACTTGGTCACAGTAAATATGTACCAAAAAACAAGTTATTGAGGTGAGTGTTCGAACCCTCTCCAATTACGCGGACTATATATGATCAGCAATAAGCATTTTTATTTTCCTATGGTTGATACCCAAGACTGGAATGAGTAATATCACTTTCCGTACAGGATTCTTGAACTTCACTCTTGAGGATAATACTTATCGAAAACGGGTATCCTTCTATATTTATTGACAAGAATGTAAACCTAAATAGTCTAAAGCACAAATAACCTCGGTTGAAAAGAAAACATTTTACGTGAACATCTATTTCAAGGGTGATAGAGTAACAGACGTCCTGAAAAGGAGAATTTCCGATTCTCTAGGAAGAACATTATTCGCAACCACTTTGTTAATAGTGTTCTACAGCCGATCAATGTTCATCAATAATTTTAAGGATAAATTTTCTCATTTGACCAACTCCATGTGGGCTTATCAGTTTATGTGTTCACATTGCGTCAAGTATATAGGTTGTTCAGTGTTTACTTTATCCCAAAGAATTCAAGAACATTAACTGGATTGGCTAAAAACAAGAGGAAACGGGTCAACAAGTAGCTCAATAATCGAACACCGTGTGAACACAGGTCACTCAATCAAAGTGAACTCTGCATTCAAAGTCATCTATAAGGTAAGTAGAAAGTTGCTAAAGACAATCACATTGCATCTTCTTAACATTATCGAAGCAATAGCTGGAGAAACCAGAATTACGTGTCCAACATATATTGGTACAACCTCTTCTTCTACCATGGTCTTAATGTCTCACAATCTTCTTTTCTCTTCATCAGCTTTTTCCTTCACCCCCATCTGATTCCCTTTCTATCTTCTCCATACACCTTTTACCCCCAACTGGTTTATTTGTATTTCAATGATCATCCTGTTTACATTTTATCTTATCATGTTGAGTCTTTTCCTTCCCAATTATAATTTCCCTATCTCTTTTCATGATGAACATTCAAAGCTCTAACAATAAAACTATTATGATAATTCCTTGAAAAAGCTTGGACCTGATTGCCAGGCCAAACGTTCGATTTACTTCAAATTCATTCGCTCAGATATATATATATATATATATATATATATATATATATATATACGACTGTACAGCTGTGAAAATGAATTCGTCGAAAAGAGAACTCCTCGCTGAAACAATCTTTCTTACTTAATGTTGAAGTGATACAACTTAAAATAAAACAGCAAATAGATGCTAATTCATCGAAAGTTTCTAGGTAGTCATTAGTTTTCTTTTTAAGTACAATTATCGCATCAACAATCTTAACAAACAAAACAACTAACAGCATTCACAATTACTAGGAATCCTAAAAACTAACCGAAACAAACGTGAGTAAGTTGCCTGGGTTGCATCAATACCCAATTCAGTCATTTTTTTATAAACACGAAATGCATTTTCACTGTCTCCAACTCTCGCTAAACCATCCAGAACCATATGAGCATGAACTCTCGATGGTAGAACACGATCCTTCTCCAACATTTCAGAGAAAAATACCTACAGGAAACATTTTAATCCTGATATAAAAACGTCCAGATATATGTTAAAGTGTGAAATAGCAAAGTAAAAGCATTCCATGGTTAAAAACTATTACTTAAGGTTCAATAAAAGTTAATTTTATGTGATATGTGGTTTAATTATTAGAACGTTCGATTTTAAACCGTCAAACTGGACGATTCAAAACCACCATCAAAATCACAGGCCGCCACATGAACAGTGTAGCTCGAGTTCAACTGAACACGACCCCACCCAGTTACTGAATCACAGTTCAAAGCACTTCCCAACTAACATAAAAAGTCAGTATTAATGTTGATGCAGGAAAATATAACAATTCACATGGCAGACCAATACAAAAAAACATTAACAATGAGAAAAGGAAGAGATTAAATTCTTACTGATAACGCTGAATTTGTATCACCTGCTCTACAATAACGTTTAATTAATTTTAAATAATGTTCAGGAGGATGACGACGGTAAATTTTACTTAATCTTAAACAATCAGCAGGATCTTCTTCAGGTTCATCATTACTCAACAGTTCATCAATAACTGACTTTTTTTCTATGTTGTACATTGATCGAGTAACAAGTGACTCATGATATGGCTGTGGATCTAAATTATCTATTAAAAAGGAAGAAAGAAACAAATGATTGCAAAGTAACGACAGTTTCTATTTTTGTGGCCCGGGATCTGACTCCAGTAATATCGTATGATTGTTATTGAAGTGAGTGCTGTTGAAATATACATATCGCCAACTCCATCGCACATCATTTTGTTTCGCTTCGTTCCTTTGACTGTCCGCCTGGATCAGTAATTGTACAAAATATATGAATTCGAAATCTTTTCTCGTATTTAACTTGTCTTAATTCCGTTATTTATTAACGCGAGTTAAGTCGATAATTATATACGAGGATTGGTGATATATATTTCGACAGTAATCATTTCAATAACAATCATACGATATTACTGGAGTCAGGTACCGGGTCATAAAAGTGGTGAGCCCGTAGACGACGAACCTAACGCAGCAAGCTACATCGATGAAGAAACTTCTGCACTTTATACTTTCGACGAACAAACTCAGCGAAGTCAACTCAATAGATAAACTACTCAGTTTTCGACCATACGATCGAATCGGAAAGAGATCACGGCACCACCAAAGTAGTGAGCCGGCCTTCGAATTAAACGCATACTGTAAATCTGCGCAGACAGTGAACATCTCGAATTTTACGTGTCCGATAAAAGAAATAAGTGGCCGACTTATTTGACGAGCAACTCAAATGACTCAATCTCTAATCCGACACTGATTGGACTCAGGTCTCAGATCACTAAACTATTTTGAAATCACGTTTCAGTCTTCATGATAGGGAGTAGCAGAGTCCTGACCGTTATATGTACTGATCACAATCGAAAAGTGAAGATTCTAAATGATTTTCGTAAAGGTTCTATCTATACTCTAAAGTTTTCATTACCAGATTTCCGTTGTACATACTTATCTAAATAGTTAGTGTTCCTTTTTATTTCTTGATCTCACTTAGGAACAGCCGAGTGAAATATCGTGTGCGGGAAATACTACACAGTAGAACAAAACAACTACAAACCCCGTTTACTAATTATCCAGCCATTAGACATTGTTGGTTTCCAATACAACTTTTCTAACTCCTCTAAGTGCAATATACTTATCCACCATTTAGTAAGGTTACTTAACACAAAAATGACAGTAGAACAAGTCTATACCAAAGCCTTATAGAGTGATGCATGAAGAAAGGTTCAAACTCATCCCAAAGTAGTTTGACCCTAATGCCTGTACCACCAAGTCACATTTCGACTTATATAACGACTAAAACACTGTCACTATACAAACATCTTCCGTCTTACATACCACTATTTGTATCTTCACAGCTCACCTCTTACAATATAGAAATAACGCTGGCAGTATTTTTTACAAAATATCACGAAAATAACTCATATTTAACCACCCACCCGCATTAAGAGCACCAAAATCAAACTGATCATTTTCCGATATGACGTTCAATTCCTGTTCTGAATCACATCTCTCCAGGCTATTTACATACAAAGATTCTTCAGGCTCTTGTGGCTTTATATACCTGTGAATTTTAGCTTTCTGATTAATCACTTCCACAAGATCACGAGTAGATAAACTGGCCTTGTAGTGTGATTGAGAACGTCTCCACAACAACAGGCTACAAGCAGTGATTGGTTGAATTCTATAATGATAAAGCTTTAACACAGTTAGAACTCTAAATAAAAACATACCGATGATTTCAGTAGGTTACAAATTCTAGAGCAACCGATGATCATTATTGGCACCAAAATCACTGGATACTAAAGCAATAATCAAAAGATACATTGACGCATATTGTCTAGTGGCCAAAACAAAAGTAAAACAATAACAGGTGAGCTTGTCAGTTAGTTCTCCAGCTCACATATATTTCGATAACACAGAAGTGAAACGGTTAACATCAAATGACATCTCTCTCTGATAAATATCCCATCACAGAGCAATTCAATGAGGGAATTAAGCCTATCCTCAATAACGTAAAATATCTACACAAATATGTAGTTCGTGTTTTGATGTTGAGTCTATCAATTTAATAACATGACAAGACGTCGGCTCATAACTTACACAATTCTGGCCATCACAAAATCATTTTCACTGTCTCTTGTACATGGTAATCATTAACTATATACTGTAACTAGCTCAAGTTTCACACTTTATTCAAAACTTCAATTTACAATGTTGCGGTATGTAAAACTTAGCCGAACTTCTATAACCATAACCAACATGTCTAGAGGCAGTGGTCGAACGTTTGGAAAGTAACAATGCATCACAGTGGCACAATGACATCTAGTCCTTATCATCTTCAGCATACAGTTACCATCCGAAAATCTTACACATTTGCTTCTCAACATGTTTCCAAAGTTCACCTCCTTAGTCCGACGGATATGACTATTTGTCGTTCCCTTCCTGTGTCATCAACCGCCCACACGGTTTGGCAACTTCGAATGGTCCATACATGTGCCATGCCACAAATTGAATGAACCTTCTACGTATTCTAGTCGTTATCATGACAGTTACTGCGAAACGAAGACCTTAAGCTAAACATACCGAGATTTGACATCATATGGGCTATTCAATCACGATGGAGATTATGAGGACATTCAGCTATTAGATACTAAGGAAAATTGGTTTTTCATGGATTTCACATTAACGAGCCCACCATCATTTTCGCATTGTTGCTTTCACTATCAACGCAAGTTGTTTAAACGTCACTGAATCGTTCTTTGCCAATTTCTTGTTTAAAAATCATCAAACGATGTTCAAATATATCATCTGCCTAACATTCTTACCTCACAACAAGAAATAACTTAATTATTAATAATTAATTATTAATAACTTAATTATTATCTAATATAACATCAGTTTAGTGGTATTCGAAGTAAACGCAAAGCTTCAGCTACAGGTTTCGCAACCAATAAGGACTATTGAGATGTGGTTACATTGCACTGGTCTATGCGAGGACTAATTGGACAATCGACTAAATCTTTCTTCAATTGTTTTTCATTAGGTATATATATATATGCACATGTGTGGTTTATAAAAATGAAATAACTCATCAAGTAGTTGCATAATGTAATAAACATAATGTCACATCCATTATAAATTAATATTGATTAATTGAAAGAAAGGACTATAATAAAATAATTCGGAAAATAAAACAGTTGGTATATTTCATAGTATGTAAAGAGAACTAACAAAATATTCCCAAAGGTCGGTAATGTAGTGGTTATGCAAAAATCAGGAGATGGATGTTGAAAATACGTAGAAATACAAAAGTGGGATAAATTATAAAATTACTCAGATATTGTTGAAGGAAAGGGTTTCATTAAAGTTCAGCTAAAAACTCACTTCTGTACCGATATCGAAGGTAGCGAGAGTGCTTCTGCAAACTTCTTTTAAATGAAAAGATCAGTCTTGTGAACATAGATTCCAATAGATTCAGCAATATGCAACAGACCTCGTAAACCACGCCGCAAATTTGATGGAATATAGTGGGTAACCTTATAAGCTTTATTCGTGTCAACTTGATGACCTGTGTTCATCAATAAGGGAGAATAGAACTCTTCGTCCCCCTTATCTTTCCTGTGCTTAAGCAAAACAATTTGCGTTTTGCTATCTGATGACGGACTTGTCGAATTGTACGCTCTATATAGCGGGCTCCACAGGAGCAGTTGACCTGGTAGATACATATGGATGTGATTCATACATAGCTGCTATACTACTGACCCTTTAAAATATTTTGTTAATTCTCTTTACATACTATGAAATATACCAACTGTTTTATTTTCCGAATTATTTTATAGTCCTTTCTTTTAATAATTCAATACTAATTTATAATGGATGTGACATTTTGTTTATTACATTATGCAACTACTTGATGAGTGTTATCTCATTTTAATAAACCACACATGTGCATACATATGTAGAGAGAGAGCCATGATGGAAACTGTTTCTTTACTTTATTCGTCCTTTTTATAGAATGCCAAAAGGGGTGGTTCACTATACTGAAGTCGATTACATATTCATATCCTCCACATATTTCAATCTACACGTATGATCAAACACTCTCATATGGTACAAATTACAGTCTACTACAATGACCACTGTAAGGTTCATGAAATATAATTATCCCACGTATTTTACGAACACATTCAAACTATTAATCATATACTGCTGTAGACAATAACTGTCAGTATGCACTACAACTAGCACCTCTTTATTCAGTGAGCTTCAAATACCCTTGATTCATTCATTATCTGGACATCCAGATATTTGAATCAACAATACTTAAGCATAACGATACTAACAGCAATCTTGTGCGGAAACGTGAGTTGCGTGCAACCGAATTACAAGCCACTTAAGTTATGTGACTAAAATAGCCCAAAGGTCGACCAATAATCAGGTTTTGGGGTCAGAAACACATGGCCTATAAAGTCTTTTACTTTTTATGAGTCTACTGCTTGTTACGTCACAAACACTTTTTTTAATAATAGGACTTGGACCGGTAGAGTATAAACTTGTACTCAAAGACTAACCACATGGCACCAGCGGCAGTGGTATAAAGTGATATATTAGCGCAGTCTGTCATCTTTTTTCATGACATTTTAGAATGCCACGTCAACACTAAGAAAACTTCCCAAAGTCCTTTTTAAATAGTAATAAAATAATCAAAACCATGATTAAGGCATTCCTAAATACAAACAGATGACACAAATAACAAGCGCAGACTCTAGTTTCGCCAAAACTAATTGACCCGCTTTCTCAATACCCAATATATTTGCGTTCACCTAATATGTGTAGCGTTCAAACCTTCATCTTCAGTCTTCAGTAATAAGGATAGGGGTCTATTGACCTATTTTAATCCTTGCAGTTTGTTACACTGTGGATGTCCAATCTCGGCTCATAACTTACACAATTGTTTTTCATATGACCGTCTAGTTTTACTAATTAACGCTTTACAAGTATTTCTAATCTTACAATAACTGGACCTGTACTGTTCTAAGCCAGTAGAGATGAACATATTCCAGTGCTTTTTCCTACGTCTAAGAAGTTTCTTGACTTGTTTATTTATTCATGGTGGACTATTATTCGGTTTACGTGGTACCAAGTATGGTATGAACGGGGACGTGACTGCACTAAACTTGCCTTTAAATACAGACCATGCCTCTTCAATTGATGAGCTACTATATACTGATCAATTTCTCTTGGCAGCACACTCCTCAATGGCTGGTATGTTAGCTCTCCATATGTTTGGGCAAGACTTAACCTGATCGTACATCATGTCACTAGCTCTAAACGTGAATGATAAAACAGCGTGAACGCTATTTACTAACGGGGGAAGAATATTTAGGTTGGCAATATCCTCGGTCTCATGAGTGATTACCAAGTCCAACAAAGAAGAACCTTGACTTACGCCAAAACGTATGGGTTTGCATACATGCTGTATTAATGCATGCTCCATTACTGCCACCAGGATCCTACTATCAAAGGAGTCTGTAGATCCTTTCGTGGTCATCTCATTCCAACTCATGTCAGGTGCATTGAAGTCTCCCAATTTCAAGCATCTGTTATTTGCACTCCATAGCCGAATGTGCTCTAAAATAAAGTCATCAGCTAAGCAGACTGGTCTATGAGAGATGACACCGAGTACAAATGCACAACATCCAATAGTGAGCTCACAGCTAATGACTTCACTATTTCCACAGTCATGGGATTCGCAAACGGAGGAGCGGATATTTATATCATTGACTATGTATAGAAGAACGCCACCTCCTTTCCTGCATCTATGTCTATCACTTCTTAAACAATGATATCCGGATAATTCTGGGGTAATATCGAAGTCATGGACTAACCATGTTTCCGTCACAGCTACAGTGAGTGGCCCTAATTTGTCCACTAATGCTTCTAGTTCATAGAATTTATGTCTTAGACTACGAGAGTTGGCATATAAAACTCCTAGGGAGAACGAGCTATCTACACAGGCCTTGGTAGCATTCGCTTCCAAGACCTGTCTATTCGAAAACCCACTAATTCGAGATTAGCATCACCATTTTTGCGACGGGTTCCTAGTTCAGCTAGTGCCGTCTTCCTTTTTATTCTATCTTCAAGAGACATATCCGGTCTAACTCGAACGTCAGGATTGTCGTGACTAAGAGCGCAACTTAACAGAATATCACGTTGTTTCTCCGACCCTAGGATTACCTTAAGCAGTCTACATGGTCGGGTAGAACACTGTCATCGACCCTTTTACATATTATAACCAACTTTTTGACCTGAACAACTTTAGAGTTATCTGGTAATATGCTACGGATATATTCTCCGAGCCTCCCTAAATAATCGGCTTGTCTAATTTGGGGATCTGGATCGTTCGACTACGGCAATTTAATCACAATAATATTTGATGAGATTAAGTTCTTATCAGTCACGCTAGGGTGGTGTTCTGCTTAACTATCAGAGTGTGGTAGTGCATTGAATGACTCAGAATACGAGTCCCCCAATGACTTGTCAACCAAGTGCGTATTATCTTTAGCTTTTTTTTCTTTTATTTTCCTCCGTGCTGCCGTCCATTTTTCATCATTCAGGACATCCACGTCAGGATTATTTGGGACGGTGACGGTTTTATCCGGGTCCTCAATTTCTACTGGAGATGCATGACTACTCATGTCAATATCATGTGGTGATTCACTCCCCGTTAGTCGTAGCGGAAACTTCACTTTTCCATCAATCACAGTAGGTTGTT